GCCTACCAGCCTCTTCCCCTGACCTCCGGTCCCACATTGCTCGGTACAATGCCAGGGACTAGCCCATTTTGCCGATGAGAAAACTGAGGCACACTGGGAGGTAGTTTGCTCAGAATGGCCCAGCTAGTGAATGGAATAGCCAGAATGGAAAAGTCCATCCTTCTTCTGTTCTGCATGGTTTGAGTTGCCACCCTCCAGATCCAGCCCCAAACCTGCTTCATTGTAGGGACACAGAAGCCTTCCTGGGTTTTCAGGATTAAAGGTGGAATCCGAGGTCCTGGAGACTGGTGAACAGAGAGCTCCATGCTGTTCCCTCCCTACAGAAAAGTGGATGACAGTGACTGCAGAAGATAGGAGGGCCTGGGGGTCTGCTTGGGGATCTCTGAGGGAAGACCCACTGTGAGTGAGCAGAGCTCAGGCCCCAGCTCTGGGCTCCCTGGAGTTCTCTGCGCCCCCAGGGTGGGAAGGGAAGGGGAAGTGGCGGATGTGGATTTATTTACCTAAAGAGATGACCAGGGGGGCGAAACTCTCACCTGTGGGTTCCTTCTCACCTTCCTGAGCTCCATCAATCCACAAAGTGGTCTGCCACCCCTGCCCCCATGCACTGACCAGTGCAGGCAGCTCCGGGCTCTCCTCTCCACAGGCTCTTCCTCGGGGACCCAGCCCAGGAGTGGGTGCAGCCTGAGCTTGTGTGGGGAGGGTGGGCGAGCCCTGGCCTTGCTTACCAGGGGGAGTCCGGGGATTTGGAATGAAACTCAAAGAACGTCAAAGCTAGAAGGGGTCTTAGGGATTCATCATTTGTTCCAACTTCCTCATTCCTTGGATGAGAGCCAAAGAGGGCAAGGGACTCGCCCAAAGCCTCACAGCTAGCTGGTGGCATGGCTGGGACAAGGCACCAGGTGCCCACGTGCCCACCTCTCTGCTTTCCCCCTGTGGATCCTTCGGGTCACTTCCGTTCCGCGTTCTTCCCATCATCTGCAGTCTGGTTACACTCTGCCTCTTTGGGCAGCTCTGGCTCATTCCCTGAGAAACCCTCAACCTCACATCCACATCCTCACCAGCTCCCAACCCCCAGGCAGGGCATTAAAGAGAGCACAGACACGTGGAGGGGACAGCTCAGGCCTTGGGTTCCAGGGTGGAGGTGTCAGCTGGGGGCAAAAGTTGGGTGAGGGTTCCAATTTATGCTGTCGGGACTTACTGGCCATGGGGACAGTGGGAGCCACTCAAGGCCTCTGAGCCCAAGCACCTGGTTTCTATCCATGGGGACAGGGCCTGCTGTCACTGGCCAGCCCTCAGGCCAGCCTGGGTCTCCATGGTAACAGATGCCAGCAGACAAGCTGGGCCTCGGGGCTTAGCCAGGGGGTTAGCTCTGGGCATGGCTGGATGCCCTGTGTCATAGGCAAGACAGCTGTGGCTCCTTGTCCCTTCCGGTTGGGCACCTGCAAGCCTGGCCTTCTAACTTGGTGTGCTCCTTTACGCCCATGGGGAAGCCAGTGGTGGGCCCTGAGTGGGGAGGCAGCATGGAGCCCTTGATTTTATCACCCCCACCTTGCCCTGGTCCTTATATGCTGTGTGACCTGTGGCAAGTCCCTTCACTTCTCTGATTTGAGGTCCCAGTTTATAAAAAGGAAATGGCTACTACCAGGGATGCTGTCAAAACCACCGCCATCCACATCAGCTGAGATAAAGGACTCACAGAAATGCAACAAGTGCCACAAGAATGGGGGCAGGGGCCCGTTTTGTGGTTTAGCCTCAGTTGACCTAAACTGTCAGACTTTCTCCTTTGACTGGAGTGAGCTGGGGGTAAGGGGGAGTGAAGAAGGGTGGAGTTTATTAACATTCATTGCTGGGGGGGTGGCGTTCAGGAGGTGATAAGGGAACTGAGAAGTAGCCTGGGCTGCTGTGGTTAATCCCCACCCCCTAGTGCCAAGTTCAACACCCCCCAGCTGGGGTCGTCTCACGCCTGCCTCTCCTAACAGCCCAGCTGGTGCAAACACAGAGCCCACCTGCAGGTCAGCCACTTGCCACCACCTGCTTGAGCCCAGCCCACCCTCTTCCTGCTGAAAAACAGAAGCGTTGGGGCAGGGGAAGGGCGAAGGGCAGAGGTCAAAGGGCGCTCTAGCAAGGAGGATGGAATTTTTGCAATTTTTTTTTTTTTGAGACCGGAGTTTCATTCTTGTTGTCCAGGCTGGAGTGCAATGGTGTGATCTCAGCTCACCGTAACTTCCGTTTCCCAGGTTCAAGTGATTCTCCTGCCTCAGCCTCCCGAGTAGCTGGAATTACAGGCATGCACCACCATGCCCGGCTAATTTTGTATTTTTAATAGAGACGAGGTTTCTCCATGTTGGTCAGGCTGGTCTCGAACTCCCGATCTCAGGTGATCCACCCACCTTGGCCTCCCAAAGTGCTGAGATTACAGGCGTGAGCCACAGCACCCGGCCTCCACCTTTGCAATTTATTTCCTACTGCCTGCTTGCAAATCAAAATCAAGTGGTCACTGGTTTATCTGCTGCGTGCCTTCATGTGCTTGGGGCCAAATACATGCTTGGCTGTAGAGAGGCCTGGCTGTCCCTTGAGGACTACCATTACATGGTTGACTGACTTCTAACTCCTGCTCTCAGTTTACAAGACTTCGTAAACTGTGCACCGGCTCATGCCTCCCTCCCATCAGCAGAGTGGTCAAAATCCAGGGCTCTGGGGCCGGACTCCCTGGCTCCTCTGCCAGCCGTGTCACCTTGGGGCAACTTGTCTAACCTCTCTGTGCCACACTTTCCTCATCTGAGAAATGGTGCTGGGCCAGGTGTGGTGGCTCACACCTGTAATCCCAGCACTTTGGGCGGCCGAGGTAGAAGGATAGCTTGATGTCAGGAGTTTGAGACCAGCCGGGGCCATATAGTGAGACCCCCGTTTCTACAAAAATGTTAAAAAATGAGCTGGGTGTGGTGGTGCGTCCCTGTATTCCCAGCTACTTGAGGGGGCTGAAGCGGGAGGATATAGGTGGAATCCAGAGTTCTGGGCTGCAGTGAGCCATGATTGCGCCACTGCACTCCAACCTGGGTGACAGAGTATGACCCAGTCTCTAAAAAAAATTTAAAAAAAAAAAAAAAGAAATGGAGCCAATCACAATCCCCTTAAGGCACGGTTATGAGGATTAAAGGAGTGGGTCGTGGGTATTAGCAGCTGTCACTGCAGCGATCCCCCTTCAGGTAGGTGTCTGCCTTGGACCTTTTGCATGCTCTGCTCCTGTTCCCAGGGACGTCTTCTGCCAGCTCCTTATGAAGTCCATTGGCCCCTTCTTGTCCATTGCCTCCTCCAGGAGACCTTCTCGCCAAACTGCTTCCCCCTGCCCCCCAAATTCACCTGTTCCACTCCCTTCAAAGCACCGGCCAGTAACTGAAATGACTGTGTTGGGTTTTGTTTCCCTAAACTGTAAGTGACTTGAAGGTGAGGAGCTGGGTTTGTCTACCCCGGGTCACTGTGGATGAAACCAAGTTCGAAAAGCACCAGCTGCCCACATGGAGCAGTCCCCCTCGTCACTCTCTGGATGACCTGAAGTTAGTGGTTTGTCCCCTTGTTGGAGGATGGGACTCTGGGTGACCTGAAGTTAGTGGCTTGTCTGTTTGTTGGAGGGCGGGACAGCACCCACATCCGTCTCATGGGGGTAGGAAACATGCAGGGAGAATGCCACCCTGGGCGGGCGCGGTGGCTCATATCTGTAACCCCAGCACTTTGGGAGGCCGAGGCGAGAGGATCTCTTGAGCCCAGGAGTTGGAGACCAGCCTGGGCAACATAACAAGACCCCCTGTCTCTACAAAAAAATTTAAAATTCATTGTGGTGTGGTGGCTCGCACCTGTAGTTCCAAGCTCTTTGGGAGACTGAGGTGGGAGGACTGCTTGAGCCCAGGAGGTCGAGGCTGCCGTGAGCTAAGACTGTGCCACTGCCCTCCAGCCTGGGTGACAAAGTTAGACCCTGTCTCTAAAAAAGTGAAATAAAAAAAAAAAATGAATACCAACCTGCCCTCTACTACCTCTGTCTCTGGTCTCAAGAGAAGCTATAGCTGGACAGGAGGCCCCAGCCTGGCTGTTGACTTTCCTAGGCAGGTGTTCAAAGAGCTCCGACCTACTGGGCCCCATACCTGGGGATCCTAGGCAGGATGGCAGAACCAGCTCCCCACTGGTTACTTCAGGCCTGGCCCCCGAGGGTGCTGGGGAGGGGCAGGGAGGAGCCAGCAGAGGCGCTACATGGATAACCCTGAGTGGGGGGCCCATCTGTGTGTTTGCCTGCTCCAGGGACTGCGCCAGCGTCACCCACGTGTGAACAGCCCTCCAGAGTCCCCTCTGCACACCGGGGAGAGGGTGGGGGTCCCCCACCCCATTTTCCAGTCCTCTCTTGACCTCGCCCCTATGCTTGACTGAGGCCGGCTTGATAGCATGTGGGGCTTGGTGCCTCTGTAAAGCTCATCCCGTCTACCCCACCTCAAAGGTTTCCTTGAGGGCGCGGGCCTCTAGCTCCTGCCTGACCCAGATCTGCACACGCGGGAGGTGCCTGTAAGAGCTGGCCCCTAACAGAAGCAAGCAGGAAGAATGGATGTCCCTGAGGTCCCTATGGATGCTCTGCACACAGTAGCTGCCTGACAGGAGTATGGTCGGGAGAAGACCGTGGGGACTGGCCCCCTAGGGCAAGGCCCTTTCTGGTAGCTTGAGCAGCTGTAGCCCTTGGGTGCCTATAAACCTAGCCCTGCCCAGAGGGAGTGTGCGGGCTGCAAATCCACCTGACACTCAGCTCAGCAGAAGGCAGACTCTAGGCTCTTCTCTTGCCACTGGGGGAGAATTGGGGGTGCCGAGGAGGAGGGACACAGCAGGCTCAAGCCGCGGAGGCTGGGTACAGCGAGGCGGGTATGACCTCAGGGCCCGGGTGCACTGGTTCAAGGCTGCCCTCTGCCGGGCACTTGGGCTGGCGCCGCGGACAAGGAAGCCGGCTCCAGGGAAGAGAAGGGAAGTCCTGACTAGGCAACTTTATTGTGACCCTGAGGTGGGGCTCTTCACTGGGGGTCTCCTGAAAGCGGAGAGTTGGGGGTGAGGGGCTCTCATGTTGCCCCTACAACACCCCTGTCACATTCAGACACAGATGGAGGGGCCGGGCAGGGGCACCCTGTGCCCGCAGCACAGTCCAGGGAAGGCCCACTTTGCACCGTGGCCCCTCATTTCTTGAATCCTGGCTTCTTGGGTCTGGCTGTGGCTTTGGCCTGTGGAGGGAAGGCAGGGCTCCAGGGTCCCATTCCCTTCTCCATACCAGGCAGCCCCCCCAGAAAATACCCGCCTGTCTCAGGGGCCACAGCCCCCGGTCCTACTTACCTTTTTCGCAGGGCTCTTGTCTCTAACGCTGGCTCTGCAACAGGGTGGAGTGGAGCAGGAGTGGGATGGGGGTCAGGAAGACAGCTCAGCTCCAGACACGTGGCGGGGCCCTCCCAGTGCCCACCCTGGAAAGCAAGCCTGGCTGCTCCTCCTAGGGACCACTCAGACTCTTTAAACAAAGGGGTGTGCGTGTGTGCATGCACACGTGTTTTCCTTAGGCTGCTATCTTCTTTTGGTTACCACAAATGTCTTTTTTTTGGTTTTGTTTTTGAGATGGAGTCTGGCTCTGTTGCCCAGGCTAGAGTACAGTGACACCATCACAGCTCACTGCAGCCTCCTGGGCTCAAGTGATCCTCCTGCCTCAGCCTCCTGAGTAGCTGGGACTGCAGGTGTGCACCACCACACCTGGCCCACAAATGTCTTTTTCATTATAAAATATTAACCATTTTATACAAAATATAGCAAATAGACAAGAAAATACATTAGTTAGAGTTTTCTTTACTGCCCACACTAAACATTCTGGTGTATTTTCTTTCAGGGTTATTATTTTTTTTTGGTCAAACTTTTTTTTTTTTTTGAGATGGAGTCTTGCTGTGTTGCCCAGGCTGGAGTGCAGTGGTGTGATCTTGGCTCACTGCATCCTTCGCATTCCAGGTTTAAGTAATTCTCCTGCCTCAGCCTCTTGAGTAGCTGAGATTACAGGCACATGCCACCACGCCCAGCTAAATTTTGTATTTTCAGTAGAGACAGGGTTTTGCTATGTTGGCAAGGCTGGTCTTGAACTCCTGACCTCAAGTGAGTCTCCCACCTTGGCTTCCCAAAGTGCTGGAATTACAGGTGTGAGCCACCATGCCCGGCCTGGTCAAACTCTTAAAAAAAAATGTGTGAAATAAAATAAAAATGACTTTAGATCCTGCTATATGAACTATCAATACTCTTGTCAGGTGCAGAGTTCACACTTGTAATTCCAGTGGTTTGGGAGGCTGAGGCAGGAGGATTGTGTGAGGCCAGGAGTTTGAGATCAGCTTGGGCAACAAAGAAAGACCCTGTCTCTACACAAAACTTCAAAGTTAGCCATGCATAGTGGCACGTGCCTATAGTCCTAGCTACTTGGAAAGCTTAGGTGGGAGGATCACTTGAGCCCAGGAAGTTAAGGCTGCAGTGAGCCATGATTGTGCCATCACACTCCGGCTTGGGTGGCAGAGCAAAACCCTGTCTCATTAAACAAATAAACCAAAACCATACACATACTTTCCAGGTTGCTATATTTTTCATAAGCATTATTAATATTCCATTGAGAAAAGAGATGTAGTTTAGTCAATTGTTACATTGGTAGACATTTAGAATGCTTCCATTTTTTCACTATTTGAATAATGCCATGATAAGCATCTTTTTTTAATTTTGTTTTTTGAGACTGAGTCTCGCTGTGTCATCCAGGCTGGAGTGCAGTGGCACAATCTCGCCTCACTGCAACTTTTCCCTGGGCTCAAGCAATTCTCATGCCTCAGCCTCCTGAGTAGTTGGAATTACAGGCATGCCACCAGGCCTGGCTAATTTTTGTATTTTTAGTAAACACAGGGTTTCATCATGTTGACCAAGCTAGTCTCGAGCTCCTGATCTCAAGTGATCCGCCTGCCTTGGCATCCCAAAGTGCCGGGATTACAGGCACGAGCCACTGTGCCCAGCCATGAGAAATATCTTAGTGCAGATAATTTCCCCTGAATTTTAGATGGAATTCTGTGGAAGGAATTGCCTTCAGTGGAATTAGGTCCCAAGATAAGAATGTTATAATGCTTTTCCAGAAAGGTGATGCCACCCTCCAGAACTTCCATACCCGTGTGCCTGCGTGTGCAGGTATATGCACCGTGTGTACATTTGTACGCGTACATGCCAACAGCACAGTATTCTAACACTGTATATCTCAGCTAAGAGACTTCGGCTAATTTAACAGGTAGGAAGAGTTACCTTGTTTCCTCTTGTTCTTTTTCCAGCTTTTTTTTCTGGGAACCAAAAAACAGTTTATTAGGAGAGTTAGGACAAAGTCCAGAGCCAGAACAGATTCCCAAGGTCCACAAGGTTCCCGCTGAGCACCTGGCCAGAACTAGCCAAGGTGGCCTTGGCCCATCCTGCATACTCAGCTTGGGAGGCTGGCCCAGGCTCCCGGTGGCCCATCCCTCTGAGGTGCTTCTGTAGGGGCACCACTTCCTTCCAAACAGCCACACTCCTTTCCCCACCTTAGCCACGCTCGTCTGCTTCTGGGGCACCAGCCTTTTGACTTGTTTGACAGGGCTTTCCTCCTCCAGAGATACATCTGCATCCTCATCCTCATCATCTTCCTCCTCTTCTTCCTCCTCCTCCCCTTCTTCCTCCTCCTCCTCCTCCCAGGTTAGGTCTGATGCTTCTGTGATAGCATGGGAAAGGGGGCAGGGGCACAGCTTCAGAGTTACAGAATCTCGATGCCCACCTCCCATTCTGTGATCCATGTTGCTCCAAGCACTGCCCTGGAGGAATCCTAGTCTGGAGTTAACAGTGGTTACCTGCCTGCCACCTGTATAGGACGGCACCCTTTCTGGCCCTCTTGACGGTGGAGGCCAGGGTAGGGTAGGGGGTCTAGGAAAGCCCTCCAGAGGGCTGGGGTGGTAGAAAGAGGGCAGGGGAAGTGGCTCTGGCTGGGTAGGAGGGGGATTCATATTGGCAAGGGCTGGGGTCAAGGCTAAAGGTAGGCAGAGTGGGGGAGGAAGAGGAGGGAGAAGGGGAAAGAATCTAAAGCAAATAGCTAATGAACTGAAACTTTATCCTAAGAGAAGTAGGACCTGCCAAGGCTTTTTAGCATAATCATAATTATGAATGAGGCATAATCATACAGAAAAGAGGGCCAGTTGAAGGGATCTTGAAGGAGTCAGCATCATGCTGCGTTGCTACAGTCCGCGTTGCTGTGGTCTGCATCACTGCAGCAGCCATATCCTGAACAGTGGCTCCCTAGTACGGGGTATTACATTGAGTACTTTTCCTGAATATCCCATTTATTCTTCACAACTGCTCTTTGAAGTTTACGAGCGAGGGACTGCAGCCTACAGAGGTCATAGCGGGTAAAGAAGAACAGCGACCAGCGCCCTTGCCTTCCAGTCCAGGCTGCTGGTCGTCATGTTGCCTTTGCGGATTTTCTCCCAAAACTCAAGAATCCCTCCAGGGTTTGAATAGCTAGTATATCTCGAGCCCCTGCCTGGCACGGTACTCTCAGACCTTCCTGAGCCCGGGTTCTGACTTACCATAACGTTCCTGGCCACAGAGGAACACGGGTCCTGAGCCAGCCCGGAGCTGGAAAGTAACTGGGGGAGAAAGCTGCACTCCTACCATGGTGACCTGCAGCGGGAGAAAGCAGAGAAGAGAGGGCCACTTAGGCCTGGCACCTCTCAGGGGCTGGCCTCAGGCAGAAATACTGAGTTGATTTCCCTCCCCAAACCCTACACACTACTCATGGATTGTGTGGACCTTACTGTGTTCTCAGCCCTATACCCCCCTGCTGAGGTAGGCTCTGTCCAAGAATTTGAACCTGGTAATCCCATTCTTGCTAGGCTCACAGATGGGCCTCCAAGCTGAAAGGCAGCTGTCGATAGGGAAGTCTGATTGCTATGGGCTAAATTACAGCTGTTCCCCCATCCTCCAAATTCCTACGTTGAAGCCCTATTCTCCACTGTGATAGTATTTAGAAATGGGGGCCTTGGGAGGTCATTAGGTTTGGGGTCATGAGGGCGGGACCCTCACGATAGAACTAGTACCTTTACAGTAAGAGACACTAGAGAACTCACTCACTCTCTTTCTCTCCACTCTCCTGCCCCACATGTGAACACATAGCAAGAAGGCTGCCATCTGCAACCCAGGGATAGGACCCTTACCAGAACCCAACCATGCCGGCCCCCTGATCTCAGACCTCAAGCCTCCAGAACTGTGAGAAAACGTCTGTTGCTAAAGCCCTCCAGTCTGTGGTATTTTGTTATAGCAACTTGGGCAGACTGAGACACTCATCAAATGAGAAAGCAGATTCACGATTTTATGTACAGTACTACTTTCTTTTTTCACATCAGACAGGTAATGTGCCAACTCGTAACCAGGTTTGTGGGAGGCACATCTTATGCACAAGTGTGAAACCCCAATCATCACACTTTTAAATGACAAGAGCCTCTATGGTACTTTTGTCTTATGCATAATGTATGGATATACATAATAAAGGTTTTGGCTGGGCGAAGTGGCTCACACCTGTAATCCCAGCACTTTGGGAGGCCGAGGTGGGTGGATCGCGAGGTCAGGAGACTGAGACCATCCTGGCTAACACGGTGAAACCCTGTCTCTACTAAAAATACAAAAAATTAGCCAGACGTGGTGGTGGGCACCTGTAGTCCCACCTACTTGGGAGGCTGAGGCAGGAGAATGGCATGAACCCGGGAGGGGGAGCTTGCAGTGAGCTGAGATCGCGCCACCGCACTCCAGCCTGGGCGACAGAGCGAGACTCTGTCTCCAAAAAAAAAAAAAAAAAAAAAAAAGAAAAAAGAAATGAAGAGAGGCGGGTGCAGGAGCTGGTGTGCAGCAACTGAAGGGAAATGGGCCTGAAAATAGCCAGGACTTTTCGCTTCAGAGCTCACACACAGGCCGGGCACAGTGGCTCATGCCCGTAATCCCAGCACTTTGGGAGGCTGAGGCAGGCGGATAACTTGAGATTAGAAGTTTGAGACCAGCCTGGCCAATATGGTGAAACCCTGTTTCTACTAAAAATACAAAAATTAGCCAGGTATGGTGGTGCACACCTGTAATCCCAGCTACTCAGGGGGCTGAGGCAGGAGAACTGCTTGAACCCAGGAAGCGGAGGTTGCAGTGAGCCAAGACTGTGCCACTGCATGCCAGCCTGGGCGACAGAACGAGACTCCGTCTTTAAAAAATACAACAAAGCAACACAAAAAACCTCACAGACAGGAGACAAGGCCTCGGGCTCAGGCGAGAAGGAGAGTTGCAGCTGAGACCACCATGGGGAGGCTAGGACCCACAAGGGCTGTACCCTTAGTAAAAGGCCCAAGGTAAGTGTTGAGGATTGCAGACTAAAAAGCCCAAACCAGCCCTCTTCCCCTCAAAAATGAAAAAGAAAAATCAAAGCCCTAGCCACCATAAAAGGAAGCTAACAAGGAAGCATGAATGGAAATAAAAGAAGCCTCCAGTGAGAGCCCACGACCCACAGCTGCGCCTCTCACTTACGGGGTCTGAATTTACTCAGTGAGTACTGCCAAGCCAAGAAATGCATAGAAAATCCCAAGCTTATGATATTCCTGAGGTAAATGGCAGAAGCAAACACGAAACCACTTTGTTGGGACACTCTCCAAACTCAGGCCACATCGAATTCTTTTGGAAAACAACAAAATAAACTAAAGATGAGCTCACCGTATAAAATTACAAAACATACAAGAAACAATCCAGCTAGAGTCAACAGAAAGAAATCAAGTGACTGCAGACTAGCCCAACCAAGACCTTAGAACCCCAATCTAAAAAAATATCAGATAAAGCTGGGTGTGGTGGTGCATGCCTGTAGCCCAGGCTACTCGGGAGGCTGAGGCAGGAAGATGGCTTGAACTCAGAAGTTCAAGACTGCAGTGAGCTATGATTGCACCACTGCACTCCAGACCGGGAGACAGAGCAAGATCTTGTCTCTAAAACATGTATATACACAAATATGTGTGTGTGTGTGTGTGTGTATATATATATATATAAGTTTAAAACCAAGTAAATGTAAAAGTAGGAATCATTATCATAAGAACAAGACATTATGAACAAGAAAAAGAACCAAATGCAGCTTTCTAGATATAAAAAACCGGAAGCTGAGGATGGGCGTGGTGACTCATGCCTATAATCCCAGCGCTTTGAGAGGCCAAGGTGGGAGGATCGCTTGAGGTCAGAATTTAGAAACCAGTCTGGATAACATAGTGAGACTCCAGCTCTACAAAAAAAATAATAATAGCCGGGCATGACGGCTTGTGCCTGTAGTCCCAGCTACTCAGGAGGCTGAAGGGGAGGATCACTTGAGCCCAGGAGTTTGAGGCTGCAGTGAGCCATGATCAGGCCATTGCACTCCAACCTGGGCAACAGAGCAAGACCTTGTCTTTTTTAAAACAAAAATAAAAGAAAACCTCAACAAATGATTAAAAAGCAGAATAAAGCAGCAGAAGCAGAATTAGTATGATCAACAATACTGTGAAGGAATTACCAAGTATAAGGCACAGAGGGAGAGATTTAAAGAAACATGAAAGAAAAGCTAACACGGGGGACAGAGTGAGAAGGCCCAACATATATCTAATTGGAAAAGGAACTCGAGAGACTGGAAGACAGTCAATATTCAAAGGGAAAACAACCAAGAATTTTCCAGAATTGATCAAAGACATAGATCCTCATACCTGAAAACCTAAGTCCTGAACAGATAAATAAAAATAAATCTACACCTTAACATATCATGGTGAAACTATAGAAAATAAAAACGACCGGGTGCGGTGGCTCAAGCCTGGAATCCCAGCACTTTGGGAGGCTGAGACGGGCGGATCACGAGGTCAGGAGATCAAGACCATCCTGGCTAACACGGTGAAACCCCATCTCTACTAAAAAATACAAAAAACTAGCCGGGCGAGGTTGCGGGCGCCTGTAGTCCCAGCTATTTGGGAGGCTGAGGCAGGAGAATGGCGTGAACCCGAGAGGCGGAGCTTGCAGTGAGCCGAAATCACGCCACTGTACTCCAGCCTGGGCGACAGAGCGAGACTCCATCTCAAAAAATAAATAAATAAATAAAAAGAAAATAAAAACAAAAGACATTGCCTTAAAATAAACCAGAAAGGAAAGATATCTCCAAAAAGGAAATAATCAGACAGATTGAGGATTTCAACAGCAACATTGGGAACCAGAATAGAACAGCTTCAAAGCTGAAGGAAACTCTCGACCTAGAATTATATACACAGTCAAACCATCGTGAAGGAATGAGGGCATAATCATGATATTTCCAGACAAAGCCTGAGTAAGTTTACTATTCTCAGGCTCACTAAAGTGTGTTTCTAAAAAAGATGAATTAAATCAAGAAGGAAGAAGTGGGTGCAAGAAGCAGTGGTAACCAAACTCACTGGTAAACAAAGTAAATCTACCTAAAAATTAACTGGAAAATACAATAGTACTAGTAATGAGTAGTGTTGAAAAAGTTGACAAGTTGGAGCTAGAACACTAGATAATAATATTGAAGTTAAAAAGATGAGAATCACCGGCTGGGCGCGGTGGCTCAAGCCTGTAATCCCAGCACTTTGGGAGGCCGAGATGGGTGGATCACGAGGTCAGGAGATGGAGACCATCCTGGCTAACACGGTGAAACCCCGTCTCTACTAAAAAATACAAAAAACTAGCCAGGCGAGGTGGCGGGTGCCTGTAGTCCCAGCTACTCGGGAGGCTGAGGCAGGAAAATGGCATAAACCGGGAGGCGGAGCTTGCAGTGAGCTGAGATCCAGCCACTGCACTCCAGCCTGGGCGACAGAATAAAAAGACAAGAATCAGGCCAGGTGCGGTGGTTCACACCTATAATCCCAGAACTTTGGGAGGCCAAGGCAGGCAGATCACCTGAGGTCAGGAGTTCAAGACCAGCCTGGCCAACATGGTGAAACCCTGTCTGTACTAAAAACACAAAAATTAGCTGGGCATCGTGGTGCATACCTGTAATCCCAGCTACTCGGGAGGCTGAGGCAGGAGAATCACCTGAACCTCAGAGGTGGAGGTTGCAGTGAGCCAAGATTGTACCACTGCAATCTAGTCTGGGCAACAGAGTGAGACTCCATTTCGAAAATAAAAAAATAGAAAGAGGAGAATCAGAAAACCTCCTTGGATTGTCTGGGAGGAAATAAAACATTAATTTTAAACTTTGAGTCATGCATGATTGTTAAAAAAATTAAAGATAACCAGTAAAAAATTAGAATGAGATTCTATAACTTCCAAACCAGTGAGAAGGGGAAAAGAAACTTTAATTAATCTGATAAATTATAGGAAAAGGAGAAGAAAATAAAAAAGCAAAGAAAGTAGGGGTACAAAGTACATGCCACAAATCCAATTCCATCAGCAATTGCAATGAATACAGACTATACTGGCCAGCTAGAACAAAATCTAGCTACATACTGTGTAAAAGATACATACCTGGAACATAAGACATAAAACACATCTGAAACAGAGAGGTAGCTGAGGCCAGAACACAAAGGCTCCGAAGCAGGCCACACTCTGGGCTCTTATTCTAAGTGAGAGAGAGCCATGACCTAAGTGTTCTAGTGGAGAAGCCACATGATCTGACCTGTGTTTAAAAGGATCTTTTTGGCCAGGCACAGTGGCTCACGCCTGTAATCCCAGCACTTTGGGAGGCCAAGGCAAGTGGATGACTTGAGGTCAGAAGTTCAAGACCAGCCTGGCCAACATGGTGAAACCCCATCTTTACTAAAAATACAAAACAACAACCACCACCACCACCACCACCACCACCTCAGCTGAGTGTGGTGGGGAGCTCCTGTTGTCCCAGCTACTAGGGAAGTGGAGGTTGCAGTGAGCCGAGATTCCGCCACTGCACTCCAGCCTGGGTGTCAGAGCGAGACTCTGTCTCAAAAAAAAAAAAAAAAAAAAAAAAAAAAAAAAGATCTTTTTGGCAACTATGTGGAGCACAGACCAGGAAACTTTCTGTAAAGAGCCAGAAGGTAATATTTTAGGCTTGCAAACCATATGGTCTCCATGGAGACTACTCAAATCTGCTGTTATGGAGGAAAAGCAGCCATGGACAGGGTACAAATGAATGAGTGTGGCTGTGTTCCCAGTAAAACTACTTACAAAAACAGGCAGCGGGCTAGATTCAAGCTCTCTAGTTTGCCTACCCTGGAATAGACTACAGGGGACCATGTGATGGTAGGAAGGCCCAGCAATTAGAATGGAGCCACAGACAACTGTCACCTATACCGGAGTAGCAGGGAAGACGATGAGATGTGGTCCATCGGGGTATAAGATGGAGGCAGAGATGACAGGACTGCTGGTAGATCAGATATGGGCATGGGAAAAAAGACGGGTTGGCTGGGTGTGGTGGCTCATGCCTGTAATCCCAGCACTTTGGGAGGCCAAGGCAGGTACATCACCTGAGGTCAGGAGTTTGAGACCAGCCTGACCAACATGGCAAAACCCCATCTCTACTAAAAATAAAAAAATTTGCCGGACGTAGTGGAACATGCCTGTAATCCCAGCTACTTGGGAGGCTGAGACGGGAGAATTGCTTGAACCTGGGAGGCGGGGGTTGCAGTGAGCTGAGATCGCACCATTGTGCTCCAGCCTGGGTGACAGAGTGAGACTCCATCTCAAAAAAAAAAAAAAAGGAAAAACTGCCATTATTCAATTATTATATGCATAGAAAACTTGAGACGTGAATTATTAGAAACTACAGAATTTCTGGATACACAACCAATATGTAGATCGACCATGTTCCTGTTACTAGCAGTGAATGGTTTAAAGCAGCAGTCTCCAACCTTTTTAGCACCAGGGAACGGTTTCCTCGAAGACAATTTTTGCATGGATGGGGTGGGAGTGGGGGGTGGTTTTGGGATGAAACTGCTCCACCTCAGATCAGGCAATCGATTCTTATAAGAAGCATGCAACCTAGACCCCTTGCACGCACAGCTTACAATAGGGTTCATGCTCCTCTGAGAATCTAATGCCACTCTGATCTGATGGGAGGCGGGGCTCAGGGGTAATGCTGGCTAGCTGGCTGCTCACCTCCTGCTGTGCCGCGGGTTCCTAACAGGCCACAGACGGATTCTGGTCCTTGGCCCGGTGGTTGGGGACCCCTGATTTAAAGTGTAATTTTTGCAGACAGCTTAACTTGCCTAAGGTCACACAGCTCTAGGAAGGGGTGAGCTGGGCTGGACCCCAGCTTTGCATGGGCTGTGCTACCTCCCTGGCATGGCTCACTTCTGTAGGGTGAATGCACCCTCGTGTGTGTCCATCCCCACCCAAGGGTGAGGGTGAGGGTGAGGCTGGGGCTGGCAGCAGTTTTCCCGCCAGCAGGGAAAGGCCCACCATGGGGAGGACTGAGGCCTGGAGCGAGGCAATGGTGACTGGCTGCATCTTCTTGTCCTCCTGGTTTGCTGGGGGCAGGATCTCCACGCGATGCATCTCTTCTTTGGCTTTCTCTCCCAAGCAAATCTGCGCGGGTTTGAAAATAGACAGAGGCCCCTCATCACCCTGAGGGCAGACGGGAGAAACCCATAGTCCTCTGTTGGGACCAGAAAGTCTCCGGACTCCATCCTCCTCCCCTCTTTTGGGAACACCGACCGTATGAAGCAACAGCCTGCAGTTCTGCTTCCCCTCCAGCTGGGGTCTGAAGGTCCAAGTCCGCCTCTCCTGACTGAGTTCGCAGCCTGCGGAGGAGAAAGGGAGGGAAGTGGGGCCCTCTATTCGTTCCCGAGGGAGGAGCTCACCTGGGCCCCAAGCTGCCGCGCACCGGAGGTGGGGCGTGGCTCTGGGAAGTAGCCTGAGTTCCCACTCACCCCAGAGCACGGTCGTCACTGCCTTTTCCTCCGTGCTGCTGGCGCTACTGAGATTCATGGCTCCGGGCGGAGAAACAGGGTGGCCGGGCAGCTGCAAGGAGGGCGCCCGCGTGAGGCCTTGCTCCCTGACCCTGACCCTCGACTGGAGGATGTCAGAGGCCGGCAGGCATCGGCAGATACTGAGGCGTCGCTCGCGGCTGGAGAGCGCCCGCCACGGTCAAGGGCTCACCGCCAACTCCTGGAGGACTAGTACCCACCTCCCAGCGGGGCGCGCAGCCCGGGGCTCGGCCGGGCGCGGAGAGGACCGCGGGACTCACGCGAGAGGGAGCTGTCCACCGAGCCCAGGCTTGAAAGCCCGCGGGGTGGTCACCTGGCTGCGCTTGGGCCTAACTCAAAAACCTCTGTGCACCTCCACCAGGCGCAGAGAAAGGGGTGTGCGCGCGGCTTAGGTCCCAGCTCCCCCCACTCAGCCTTACTGTCGCTGCTTCGCGCGGGGCCAGTCACGCCATTGGCGCTCCCGGAGCGCAGCGCAACCTCATCCCCGCTGGCCGGAGGGCTGCTGCCCAAGGCCGGGCTAAGAAGCCTTGGAAGGGGAAGGGCAGGTGTCCAATCAGCCGCAAAGAAGCCGCCTGCCTCTCCCCTTCCCTTCTCCCATTGTTTCCTCCTCTGCGCGGTAGAATCACCTGGAGGGCTGTTAATGTGCGCATCGCTGCGCTCCACTCCACAGCTGCCTTTGGCGTGGGTCTGGGTGGGGCCGAGGGAATTTGCTTTTCTAACCGGTTCCCAGGTGAAACTGATGATGCCGGCCCAGTACCCTTCGTGAGAACCGCTGTCCGAGCCAAAGAGGACCCGCCGAGGCCTACTGGCGACCCCTCCCCAGCCCATGGAGAGGAAACCTTAGCCCAACTTAGGAAGGGAGGCCTGCAGCTGGCAGGAAGCGGCAGTTAGAAGCGCTCCTTGTTCGTTTCCTTTCTTCCTTTCCTTTCCCCATGCCTTATACAGCATGGGCCTTTCCTAAGGCCCAGACAGCCCGTCCTTCCAGTCTCCAATGAGAGAGAGCGAGCCCTGTCTCCAGAACGGTGAGATCTCCCGCGGAGAGCCACAGCCCGCAGGTGGGGTGGGGAGGGGAGCCGGGAGGCTCCGCGGCAGGGGGCGGGGAGCACACTGGGGAGCACGGCTAGCGACGCTACAGGGCCAAGCACGTGACCAGCAGCGGGTCCCAGGCTCAGTGGGCAGTGAAGAGAAGGGGGGGTTTCAGCGGATATACCCTGGAGACACCTCAGATAACCAGGGATCTCCCGCACACCTCTGGGGCAGGGGCTCATTGCCACGGAGAGGTCAGAATCTTTTATTCCTGGGAGCTGGGGTCAACCTCCCTGTGAATTGGCCAGGACAACCCAGGAGAGGCTTGGGGGCCTGCCAGGGCCCCCTAGGCTCCCTGTCCTCAGCTGAGCAGTTCCAGTCTCCTTGACAGTCCCTGAGATCTCTGTCCTTGGCAGGGGGCCTACTGGAGGTGACAGCCATTGCAGCCAAGTGTGTGGTAAAGATGAGCAAATTGCAGGCACATGCATGCCATGCACAGACGTTCAAGTATTCACTCAACAAACGGTGATTCCGCCAGCCGGGCGGGGTCTGTGCATCCCGCAGTGAATACGAAACAGCCCCTCAAAGGGCTTCCAGCCTCATTGGAGAGTAGTGCTCAAAGCAAACCGGTCTTCAGTGGCCCCAGGCCACCCTCCCCGTGAATAATCACACTGATGTGAGGCTGCAGCTGGGGTTCACAGTGAAGGCTAAATTGAGGCAGGGGAGGGGGATGACCCTGAGGTCATGACCTAGAGCTGGGAGACTGGAACTGGACAGTCTGGGTTCAAGTCTGGACTCTGTGATTTCAGGTGTGTTAATTCATGTCTCAGTGCCTCAGTTTCTTCATCTGCTAAATGAGGCTATAATACTGGTACCATCCTCATTAACTTTTTTTTAACTGATACATAGTAATTGTACATATTTACGGGGTACATATGATATTTTGATACTTGCACACAATGCGTAATGAGCAAATCAGTGTAACTGGGGTATCCATCACCTTCAACATTATTTCTTTTTTTTTTTGGAGACAGAGTTTCACTCTCATCACCAAGGCTGGAGTGCAGTGGTGTGATCTCAGCTCACTGCAACCTCTGCCTTCCGGGTTCAGGCGATTCTCCTGCCTCAGCCTCCCGAGTAGCTGGGTTTACAGGTGCCCACAACCATGCCCAGCTAATTTTCATATTTTTAATAGAGATGGGGTTTCACCATGTTGGCCAGGTTGATCTCGAACTCCTGACCTCAGTGATCCTCCTGCCTCGGACTCCCAAAGTGCTGGGATTACAGGCATGAGCCACTGGGCCTGGCTAAATGTTTATCATTTCTTTGTGTTGGAAACATTTCAAGTCTTCTCTTCTAGCTATTTTGAAATATACAGTAAATTATTGTTAACTATAGTCACCGTACTGTACTATCAACTTATTTATTATTATTTCTTATTTCAACTTATTTCTATCAAATAGTATGTTTGTACCCATTGATCTCTCTCCATCCCTCCACCCCTTCCCAGCCTCTAGTATTCCATCATTCTACTCTCTACTTTCAATTTTTTTTTTTTTTTAGCTCCCACATGAATGAGAGCATGTGAAATTTGTCTTTTTGTGTCTGGCTTGTTTCACGTAACATAATGACCTCCAGTTCCACCTATATTGCTGCAAATAAGAGGGCTTCCATATTTTTTTATGGCTGGATATATTCCATTGTGTATAGGTACCACATTTTCTTTTTCCATTCATCTGTTGATGGACACTTAGGTTGATCCCGTATCTTGGCTCTTGGAATAGTGCTGCAATAAACAAGGGCGTGCAGATATCCCTCCTTTCCTTTGGATACTGATTTGCATTATGGAAAGCAGTATGGAGACTTCACAAAAAACTAAAAATAGGACTACCATATGATCCAGCAATCCCACTACTGGGTTATTTATCCAAAGGAAAGGAAATCAGATACTGATTTCCTAGGAATCAGTATTTCTAGGGTTATTTATCCCAGTAATGGAACTGTTGAATCATGTGGTAGTTCTATTTTTAGTTTTTTGAGAAATCTCCATACTGCTTTCCATAATGGCTGTACTAACTTACATTCCCACCAACAGTGTATAAGAGTTCCCTTTTCTGCACATCCTCGCCAGCATTTGTCTTTTTGATAACAGCCATTCTAACTGAGGTGAGATGATATCTCATTGTGGTTTTAATTTGCATTTCCCTAATGATTAGTGATGTCGAGCTTTTCTTTTCTTTTCTTTTCTTTTTTTTTTTTTTTGTGGGATGAGAAGTGTCCTTCCTCTAATTGTCGCCTGGCTGGAGTGCAGTGGTATGATCTTGGCTCACTGCAACCTCTGCCTCCTGGGTTCAAGCAATTCTCCTGCCTCAGCCTCCCGAGTAGCTGGGACTACAGGTGCGTGCCACCATGCCCAGCTAATTTTTGTATTTTTAGTAGAGACAGGGTTTCACCATGTTGGCCAGGATGGCCTCATTCTCTTGACCTTGTGATCCTCCCTCCTTGGCCTCCCAAAGTGTTGGGACTACAGGTGTGAGCCACTGCGCCCAGCTGAGCATTTTTTCATATGCCTATTGGCCATTTGTTTGTTTTCTTTTGAGAAATGTCTATTCATGTCCTTTGCCCACTTAATATTATTATTTGTTTTTTGCGGTTGAGTCATTTGTATTCCTTGTATATTCTGGATATTAGTCCCTTGTTAGATGAATAATTTGCAAATATTTTCTCCTATTCTGCAGGTTGTCTCTTCACTCTGTTGACTGTTTCTTTGCAGTGCAAACGTTTTTGGTTTCATATAGTCTTATTTGTCTATTTTTGTTTTTGTTGCCTGTGCTTTTGCAGTCTTAAGCCATAAAATCTTTGCCTAGACCCATGTCCTGAAGCATTTCCCCTAGGTTTTCTCCTAGTAGTAGTATAGTTTCAGGCCTTACGTTTAAGTCTTTAATCCATTTTGAATTGATTTTTGTATGTGATGACAGATGGAGTCTACTTTTCTTCTTATTATCAATATCCAGTTTTCCCAGCACCATTTATTAAAGAAGATGTCCTTTCCCCAATGTAAGTTCTTGGTGCCTTTGTCAAAAAATCAGTTTGTGATAAGTAAATAGATTGATTTCTGGGTTCTCCATTTTTTCCGTTGGTCTGTCTGTTTTTATACCAATACCATGCTGCTTGGTTACTATAGCTTTGTAGTGTATAATATTTATATTTATATTTGAGACAGGGTCTTGCTCTATCTCCCAGGAGTGCAGGAGCAATTTCAGCTCACTGCAGCCTCCATCTCCTAGACTCAAGTGATCCTCCCACCTCAGCCTCTGGAGTAGCTGGGACTATAGGTGTGTGCCACAATGCCTGGCTGCTATTTTTTTTTTTTGGTAGAGATGGGGTTTCTCCATGTTGTCCAGGCTGGTCTCAAACTCCTCTGCTTAAGTGATCCACACACGTTGGCCTCCAAAAGTGTTGGGATTACAGGCATGAGCTTGCCCACCCTGTAGTATGTTTCGAAGTCAGGTAGGGTCATGCCTCTACCTCTATTCTTTTTGCTCAGTATTGCTTTGGCTATTTGGAGTCTTTTGTGATTCTATACAAATTTTAGGATTGTCTTTTCTGTTTTTGTGAAGAATGTCATGGTATTTTCACAGGGATTGCACTGAATCTGTAGATTGCTTTGGGTAGTATAGCCTTTTAAATTTAATTTTATTTCTTATTTTTAAATTTTATTTATTTTCTATTTTTGAGGCAGAGTCTCGCTCTGTTGCCCAGGCCGGAGTGCAGGGGTACGGTCATAGCTCACTGTAACCTTGAACTCCTGGGCTCAAGCAATCCTCCTGCCTCAGCCTCCTGAGTAGCTTGGACTACAAGGTGTGTACCACCATGCCTGTCTAATTTGTAAAATTTTTTTGTTGTGTCTCACTATGTTGCTCAGGCTTGTCTTGAACTCCTAGGCTCAAGTGATCCTCCCTCCTAGGCCTCCCAAAGCACTGGGATTATAGGCATGTATCATTGTGCCTAGCCCTAGTATGGCCATTTTAACCATATTAATTTTTCCAGTTCATGAGCATGGGATGTCTTTCCATTTTGTTGTGTCCTTTCCAATTTCCTTCATCAGTGTTTTATAGTTTTTGTTATAGAGGTCCTTCACTTCCTTAGTTAACTTTTATTCCTTGGGACTTTATTTTTTGTAGCTCTTGTAAATGGGATCACTTTCTTGATTTCTTCTCTATTTTATTATTGGTGTATAGAAACACTACTGATTTTCATATGTTGATTTTGGTGTCTTGCAACTTCACTGAATTTGTCTATCAGTTCTAGGAGTTTTTTAGTGGATTGTTTAGGCTTTTCTATACATAAGATCATGTCTGCAAAGAGAGACAATTTGACTTCTTTTCCAATTTCTTTTTATTGTTTTATTTAATTAATTAATTTTATTTTTTGAGACGGAGTCTCACTCTGTTGCCCAGGCTGGAGTGCAGTGACGCGATCAATGCTCACTGCAAGCTCCACCTCTGGGGTTCACGCCATTCTCCTGCCTCAGCCTCTCGAGTAGCTGGGACTACAGGTGCCCCCCACTGCTCCCAGCCAATTTTTTTGTACTTTTAGCAGAGACGGGGTTTCACCGTGTTAGCCAGGATAGTCTTGATCTCCTGACCTCGTGATCCACCTGCCTTGGCCTCCCAAAGTGCTGGGATTACAGGTGTGAGCCACTGTGCCCCGCCTATTGTTTTATTTTATTTTGAGACAGAGTCTTGCTCTGATGGCCAGGCTGGAGTGCAGGGGTGTGATCTTGGCTCGCTGCAATCTTTGCCTTCTGGGCTCAAGTGAATCTCCTTCCTCAGCCTCCTAAAGAGCTGGGATTACAGGTGCCCGCCACCATGCCTGGCTAATATTTGTATTTTTAATAGAGATGGGGTTTCACCATGTTGGCCAGGCCGGTCTTTAACTCCTGACTTTAAGTGATTGGCCACCTTGGGCTCCCAAAGTGCTGGCATTACAAGCGTGAGCTATTGAGTCCGGCCCCTTCTTTTCCAATTTAGAAGCCTTTTATTTCTCTCTTACCTGGTTGTTCTGGTTAGTACTT